ATCCCGGCAGCCCCGCTTCCCTTCCAGCTCCCTGCCTGTGGCCTGGGAAAGCAGTCGAGGACAGCCCAATGCTTTGGGAACCTGCACCCGCGTGGGAGACCCGGAAGAGGCTCCTGGCTTTGGATCGACATAGCATCGGCCGTTGCGCTCACTTGGGGAGTGAATCATCGGACGGGAGATCTTCCTCTCTGTCTCTCCTCTCTGTATATCCGCCTTTCCAATAAAAAAATAATAAAAATAAATCTTTAAAAAAAATTAAAAAAAAGAATTCAAGAAAAATCGTTTACTTCATTTTAGAAAAATAAATTAAAATTACTATGACATATACTATGACATATGAGTTTTGTGTACAAATAGATTATTGCTGCTAAACTGAGGTGACCATAATCAACAGAAAAGCAAACAACAACAAAAATATTCAGCAGAAATCCCAGCATGCACTATAACAGAGGTTATGATTTTGACCAGAAAAACATGTCATGATCAGGAATACAGTCACAAACAATTTTGGAGGAATTTTCAGAAAGTTCTAAAATCACATTTTAAAGGGATACAGAAAATTAGCTGGATATTAAGGCTAAAAAGGCAATTTTGCTTATAATAATGGTCCCAAAGGAACTGTTTCAGGTTTTCATTTATAGTTTGGAAAATTTGAAATCAATCCGAAATCAAATGAAAACTATGGATCTTCATTTCAAAAAAATATAAGGGTAATTAGTTTACCAAGTGATTCAGACAATATTTGGCCTTAATTTGACCTCCAAATTCTATCAAGAATATAACACGGAAATTATACACAACAAATTCGAATCACCATTAGACATTAGCAAAACTAGAAATACATATAAGGGGAATCAAGAGTGATCCTGACAACCTCTTAACAGGAGGTCATATGCACAGAACTGGCAGAGGAGGACCCTAGAGTGGAGCAGGAAGACAGGAGGAGGCTTGATCCCAACTATGGAGACTCCGAGATCCTCACCTAGGACTATCAGTATAGCACAAAGGACTACATCCCAACTGCTAAGGAGATCACAGGGAATTGTACTGCCCTCGTAGGCTAAGAACTCTGAGGTCATCCACTCCATTTCAGATCTCCCATACGGAATGGAAGATGCACAGATCCATCCTCACAGGATCTAATGTCATCAGAACAATAGCCATGAGCCCTGAGCAGTCCTCAGGAACAGAAGAATAGTAAACCTCCTTCTGGACTCGGGAGGGGAGCTTTCTCTGTTCCTTCCTTAGTTCCAACTATGGATCCTCACCCTTTCTTGCAATGACCATCAGGATTGCTTTGGTGCCCCCCGCTGAAATAAAAAATTAAAATTAGATTAGATAGACTGAGCCAATAAGAAAAGCTTAGAACCAGATAGGAAACGGTCTTGGACTCACATATATCTTACTAGGTCGGACACAAAGATTAGTTACCTCTCACTGAGGTATTGAAGATTTCTCTGCATACCCCTCCTAAAACTGTTTTGTACCTCAATCATTAACATATGCCTAGTTAAAGTTATAAGGCGAGTTGGACTATCGTAAAATCTGCCAAGTTCAGTAAAAATTATGCTACTATACAATAAAGTGCTAAATATAAAAATGAAAATAGACACGAGACAGCTGAATAGTACCCTATAACCATTTTAAGGTGTATAGCAAGAGTTTGTGTATAAACTAAAATTGAAATGCCAATGAAATAGTCACAGGATGTGGTTAAGAACTTGCATGTTCTAACATACTGGCCACTCAATACCATGTTAAGTAACTTGATAATGTTGTAAACTGTGGCTGATGCTATGTTGTGGCTTTTCATTAGAGGGGATGATATCCTGTCAGTTCTACTTTCAGACCAGAGATGGTGTCCCCAAGAAAGTGCTGAATTTATCTAGACAATAATATGCTTGACTCTATGCATGGTACATGCTTGCAATGAAGGAACCATGAATCAATTTGAACTGTAATACTGCAAAAATGAAGAGGAATCCATCATGGGGACTGGGGTTTGGGGGAGGGGGCTGGGGGAGGGTTGGGGGAATCCCAGAGCCTATGAAACTGTGTCATAAAACAAAATTAAATAAATGAAAAAGAAAATTAGACCTGCCACTCACCTCCTCTGATCCTCACTTCCCAATCCCGTTCTAAGTTTCTGCGTTTGAATCTCAGCTCTGGCTCCTGACTATAATTTGTGAGAGAAAACAAACACTTGAAGTATATCAGATTCTGCCACTCATAAAGGAGACGGAGGCTGAGGTCCTGCCTCTTGGATATGGTGAACCTGTAGCTGGGGGGAAAACATCTGTGTCCAAAACTTACAAGTTAATGAAATTGAATGTCCATAGCCAAAAATGGGGAAAAGTCCTTCTATAACTCTGCAGAGATTTTAAAAGGCAATGACGCATAATCAAAAGAGGCACACTCTAAAACTGATAAAAGAACAAATCAGCTCATATTATAAGCTTTAAAGGATAAATAAGATTAAATTATCTTAAGGTGGATCTCAGAAAACATGTACCTGCTGTCCATGAATGTAAAGAATTTTGCAGAACATGATCCACAGTGAAAAGCAAAGCATCATGATCATAGGCTAGCACCCAAGGATTTGCGTGCACTGGGATATGAAGGAAACACACACAGCAAAACAGTATATTCAACAACAAAGGGGATGATCATGTTGTGGGAGTAAAGTTGTCAGGATTAGTGATAGAATAGTAGGGAAATGCAGGAATAACGTGGTGAGAAGATGTGAAGGAGTTTGCTGAAAAGAGGTCAGTTGGAATAATTGCAATAAAAATTTCCATGAACTGTAATGAGTGAACTTGAGGAGATTTAATGAACACATTCAAATAACTATATTCAATGTTTTCATGGCTAATGGAGTTGAGTGCCTGGCACCTATTTGAGATACCTGCATTATGTTTCCTTCCCTTTTCAGCCTCGTCACGTCCTGCCTGGACACTCTAGGGATTTGGGGAGGAAACCCGTGGTAGAAAGATCTTTCCCTTCATGTTGGTCAAACAAACAACAAGGAAAAAAAATCAAACTGGCTATTTGAAGGGGAATTGAGACAAAACCAGATTCAATCTGAAATGTATGTATTTACTTGTGGGAAACCTTGAACCTTAAGTCTCCAGAGTCAAGTACTTCCATTCAGTGCATACTCACTGGCTGCCTTTCAGTTACTAGAACTTGATGGAAGTATGAGAGTACAGACATGAGAGTCACAGTTTCTGTTCTCAAGACGTTAACAGCAGAATCTGTAAAGCTTCCATGCACACAATGTGCTTCACTGATAAAACTGCACATACAGTGTGTGCCTCCTAAAGTCCTTATTTGTACCTAAATTTCTGAACCCACAGAAAACATTGATTCATCTCCTGATTCTGATATGCCACACCAAAGCACCATTTCAGTGCCAAAGCATTAAGGGAAAATGGGCTTGGGGCCAACGGGGGAAGGTTTGGTGGCTCAGCATGTTAAGGGGTTGCCTAGAATACAGGCATCCCAGAGGGGGCTGAATCACTTCTGAGCTGCTCCACTTCCCACCCAGCTCCCTGCCCGTGCCCTGGGAAGGAAAAGAACATGGTCCAACTTTGTGCGTCCCTGGTTACCCCACACAGGAGTTGAAGACCCAGACCCTGTCTTCACCTGCCTGTTGTGCTCATTTAGAGAGTCAAACCAGTGAATGTCAGATTTCTCAAGCTTCTTCCCACCAACAACACTTTCTTTCCAGTAAATGAAAAAACTCTTTACAAACATTAACGAAAAACAGACATGATACAATACCACTTCCAAGAACAGTCATGCCAGCTTCAATGCAGAGCCAATTTCTCTTCTTTCTTTCAGTCATCCAGCATACAGCCCCTCAGACACACTCTACATCGGTTCACATTTTGCAACTAACAGAGTCCCAAAGTACTTTCCCTCAAACTACTCTCAGCTATTTTAAAATAGCAAAATTTCTGAAATTCCTGAAATGAAAATATTACTAGTTGGAGATTTACATAGCAAGTTTGTTATTTTTTTCTAAGCAAATGAGTAGGCACAGCTCAATTTTCTTCTTTGAACTTTATTTTAGGTAGAACAGGATTTTGAAAACATGACTTAATATAACATCCAATAAGGAACAGTCACATCAAATACACTGAATGAATTTCCTGCACACATTCCCAAAGTTGACCACATCTTTCACATTCACACTTAGGAACGCTGCTTTGAGGGGTGGCACTCAGTCCTGGGCAGGATTCTTACACACACACTAAACTGTATGCAGAAATCTAGAACAGCAAGTGACTGAAGCTTAACATAAGGCTGCGGATACTAAATACTATGCTCAGTCTGAAATTCAGGTTCATTCAGGTAACTACACCCGGGGAAAGTATGAAGTGCTCTCATGAGCAGCAGTATTGATGTGGATGCAAGATTCTAAGCTAACCATTTTTTTTTTTAAAAAAGCAAGCCTAAGCTTCACAAATTTCAAATGAAATGTCTTCAATACAAAACAATCCAGAAAGCCCAGTGCATTTGGCAAACACCATGATGTGATAAAATCACAGTAAGATCTCCAGAGAATGGCACCAACCTTTTACATTGAAGATATCCTGATTATACACTATGTCTGGAATGAAAAATACTGACAGGGTATAATGAAATGCCAGGTTAGAGCAAAAAGAAAATATCATCAACTTTAAGAACATGACTGAATTCCCTTAAAGAAACAGAACATGTGAATCATTCAATGACCGAGATAAACACTGAAATATACTCAAGTTCGGGGATTTGTACATCTGAAAAGTCAGTTTAAGTTGAGGAAGAAAAGTGTTCAAAACTTTGAATGATGAGAGTATCTTTCTATTTCTCTGCACGGAGGAGGGAGGGTAACATTTGGCGAATTCCTCCTGAAAAGCAAAATTTAGGGTATTAAAACAATAAACGCAACACAGCAATGGAAGATACAAGAGAATAGAGAGGGCTATGTGTACCTTGAGCAATAGCAGCCATCCTCAGCTCCACAGGCCAGCATAGTTTCCACGGAGATCAGAAAAGAGAGGCCCCCCAGCCACAAAGAGCTTCATATCTGGCCAGTTGTAGCAGTGGGTGTACAGGGAACTTGGCAGTTGGTTCAAACGTACATTCTGGTCTTCCCAAATGGTATTCTGGTCGATCCAGCCCCTGCTACAGGTGAGCTTGAGTATTCTCCTCCCAGACCCTGGAGTAGAGTCCTGGCGGAAGTCGCGGCTGTCCTCTAGGAACTTCTGGGCACGGATGTCATAGAAGAGTAGGGAGCCATGCACTGTTCCCAAGGTGATAATGTCCTGGTTGTAGCTCAATGAGGACACACTGGTGCCAAACTCCCTGCAGTGCAGGGGCCTTATGTTTTGCTGGGGCTGGCGTGGATCCAGGAAAGTGACATAGGTACTGGAACCCACAGCATACAGGGAGAACTCATCGCAGTAGGTCATGCACACATTCCCTCCAAAGTAGGGCATCCTGATGGAGAGCAATCTGGACAGGTTTCTCTGAGGTTTCCAGAGGTGGAAGTAGCCGTCCAGGGAAACTGATCCCAGCTCCTGGTTCCTGCTATTGAAGGCCAGGGCACGCACGTGGTGGTGACTGGGATGAGGGCTGTCTGTAGAGATATCTACCACATGTGCTGGACGGATGTGGCCATACATAGGGATAGCACTGCTACTGGGCTGAGCGTTGCCAAAATGGACAAGTCCACGGTCCAGCTCCCATAAAGCCAGGGTGCCATCACGGGAGCCGCTCGCCACCACGGTGTCACTCACCCAGGCGCTGGCAAAGATCCAGTCCTTGTGGCCTTGGATGTCACCCAGGCACACAGGGTCCATGGTCGGCAGCTGGTACACGGCCAGGCTATTGGGGTTCTTGCCCCCTGTGGCCAGAAGTGTCTTGGAGGGATTCAGCTCAATGGTGTGGATGCCACAGCCAGGCAGGTTCCCGGCTGCTGTAGGCTGTCTGTCCACCATCATGTTGCAGTGTGTGATCTGGCCCGAGTACACGTCCAGCACGAAAAGCTTGTTGCACTTGGTGCCACACACAACCTCCCTGCTATTCAGCCATTGTGAGGCGAACACTTTGTCCAGAGAGCCCAGGTTCAGTTGGTGCTCCCTCAGCATGTGGGGCAGGCTCCGTGCTGCAAGGCTACTCAGCTGGCTTTCAAACCCCCCTTGTGCCCTGCGTCCCTGTGCACCCATCTGGCGGTCCTGCAGGTAGTACACCAGGGAACGACGTGTAGCTCGCCCTGTCGCTGGCTTTCCCTTTCTGGTCTCCATGGCCAAATCCTTTAAAGAGGAGCCAGTGGCAGCAGTTTCGCGCTGGAAGCTTTCTGGTCAGCTACTTGTTTGGTACAGTACCTTGGTCAGCAGCGAATAAGGAGCAGTGTAGGTCTGGGAGTCAGCGTTGGCGTTGCCTGGGTGGTGTGGCAAAGGAGATGGCTGCGCTGCCTGCCCGGGGTAGCGTTGGGCCGTGTGGCTGCTCTGCCTCAGCCTGGAGTGCGGGTTTTCCAGAGCGTGGAAGCTGAAGGACCTTTAGCGACTGCTGGTGGAGATTCTAAGATGGCGGTGGCGTCCTGAGAAGCTGCTCCGCCCTGCGCCTCGGGCTCCCCTGGAGGTCGGAGTGCCGTCTGCTGGAGGCGGCAAGGCTGAAGAGGCGTGACTTGGCCCAAGTTGAGAATGGCGGAAATCTCAGCCAATGGCAGGCTGGCTGTGGGAGCGGGAAGCGAGGCCGCCACAGCGTGTGAGGTGAGGGGGGCCCTGCTGCCGGGGGTGGGGCCAGTGGGAGGGCCTGGCAGAGCCTGCTCCCTCTTGGTGGAGTGCAGCACAAGCAGGCATGGAGTGCAGGGTGGGGAATGGGGCCTCAGGAGTTGGTTTCAGACAACAGGAGCCCAGGGGCCCTAGAATGATACATTTACGCTGAGGGGGTCTGAGTATGTCTGGCCATGCTTGGGAGACTCCTCCCCACTCAGCCCTCTTCCTCAATGCCACAGACATTCTTATCCTACCTTTTTCTTTCTGTAATTATGTGTGTGATAATGAAAGACACAGAGCCAGATGCGCAGGTTCACTGCTCAAATGGCGGGAGGTCTTAGGGAAGCAGGATCCTGCAAACCAGCTTGGTCTGAAACGGAATTCTTCTGTTGCCTTTCTGGAAGCTTTTGGAACAGCTACAAAGAGGAGCACTGCTTACAGGGCTTTCTGGTGTTGCAAGCAGAGTCTTTTTTTTTTTTTAAGACATATTTATATTTATTACAAAGTCAGATATACGAGGTGAGGAGAGATAGAGAGGAAAATCTTCTGTCGAATGCCTCTCTCCCCAAATGAGCACAACGGCTGGTGCTGTGCAGATCCGAAGCCAGGAGCCAGGAGCTTCTGCTAGGTCTCCCACAGGGGTGCAGGATCCCAAAGCACTAGGCCGTTCTCAACTGCTTTCCCAGGCCAGAAGCAGGGAGCTGGATGGGAAGTGGAGCTGCCGGGATTAGAACAGAGCCCATATGGGATCTGGGCACGGTCAAGGAGAGGACTTTAGCTGCTAGTCCATGTTGCTAGTCTTAAAAGCAGAGTCTTAATGTGCTGTTCCACAATGCCTGGACCCTGGCTTTGCCTCTCTCTGTATCTTAAGGAGCTTCCAAACAATAATGGAGGTCTCTGAGCTCCTGTGCCAGAACCCGCGGAAGGCTGCATTCCACATGCAAGCCTGGTCCCAAGTCCTGCCTACAGTGGGGTCCAGGATGCCTTCATTGGCCGCAGCACTTAGAACCTCTTGGCTACAAAGATGGACAGAGGTGGGAGGAGAGAAAGCAGGGTTTCCTTGACTGCTCTGCCTGTCCTTAGCTCCCAGAGCCTAGGGGAAGTGGAGTAGAGCAATCCAGGGTGGGAGGACCTCCCTCCAAGGCATGGGTAGCAGACTTTCATTCCCAGATGTGTGTGTGCATGGGGACAGAAACTCGACCCATGGAAAATATTTTCACAGAAGCCATACGGGACTTCTCAGAAGGAGACAAGCACATAAACACAGTGGTGAGAATGTAGAGTTTCAGAGACGGGCTTAGACTCTGGCGTGGTTGAAAGTTCATCGTCCGTTTTCAGCCTGAACTGGGGATGTTTTCCCAGCCAAGCTCTAGGAATTTCGTTACAGAGTGATACATGGAGCCTCCAGCCCAACTCTGAGACCAGCTGCTGTTGGTCATCTCTTCTTCTGGTCCCGTTTACTCACGCTGATTCTCTCTCAACAAACTCCCAAGCAGCTTTTTGTTTTGCCAGCTTCATCTCAAGGCACAGTTTCCACGCACAAACCATGGTTTCTTCCCACCCCCTGAATCAGTCAGCTGCATTCCAGCGTTCCTTAATGCATACTCACTTGGTGTTTGATACAAAACTTGTTTCCTTATTGTGTTAATGAGGATAGGAGAGTGATTTTACTACATTAAATCCTGAATTAGTCACTTTTGTTTTGGTTTTTGTAGAGATGGTTTGTATGGTAGAATTATTTTTAGATTTATGATGATTCCCTGAACTGAGTTCCATAATGGTTATGGTAGTTATTATTTTCATGGGCAGAGGATTCGGGCTCTTTTTCACATATGTTTCTTCAACTGTATTTCTGAGTGAAAAGTGTTATATAAAATAATGGACTTGTATGTTTTGAACGATAAAGGATTTACTAATCTTGGCTACTCAGTGAAACAAAAAGAGGTCAATATTCTGGGGAAAGTGTCTGGCCAATACACTTTTGTAAATTGGAATCAATGAGTAAACTTGAACTCTCCTGGGGGATATAGAGCCATTATGCAGGTTCTGTTAAGAATCTCTCTACCATAAGACACAAACATTTTGCCATAAAGTATGTTCTAGTCAATCTGTATCAGCATAGATCAACGTGAACAGTGATAATTAAAACAGAAAGTGGAGCATTGTGGTGGCATAATAAGTTAACCCTTGGCCTTTTAACACCAGCATGCTATATGGATGCCAGCTCATGTCCAGACAGCGCCACTTGTCATCCAGCTCCCTGTTCATGGCTTGGGAAAGCAGTGGGGGATAGCCCAAGGCCTTGGGCCACTGCGCTCACATGGGATACCTAAAAGAAGCTCCTTGCTCCCAGCTTATGACAGGCCCAAGCCTGATTGTTGTGGCTGCTTATTAAGGAAAATAGTGAATGGAAGATCTCTCTGTGTCTCCCTCTCTTTCTGTAACTTTGACTCCCCAAGAGAAAGAAAGAAAGAAAGAAAGAAAGAAAGAAAGGAAGAAAGAAAGAAAGAAAGAAAGACAGACAAAGGGAGTGATAGGGTCCCATCTTAAACTATGCCTAAAATTGCTCAGGACATTTTTGAGGCTTCACAGACAATTGTAAACCTACTAGGTTGTCATAGTTTCAGTCTGGTATAGTTTTTCAGAAGTGTTGTAATTTCTACTTTTAGTTTTTCTATTCACACTAGCTTCAGTTCTAAGACCAGATTTTCTGTTTAGATTTTTGATACTTAAAATGATTGGTTGCCTGAATGTAAATATTTTTTCTTTTTGCTATTCCAAGACTTCATTTTTATTTCTGGACTGTTAATAGGAACCAGAGGCATTATGTTTATTTTATATTGGGTTGTTTTGCATTTGCTTTTGTTTTACATCATGCCTAGGCATTTTGTGAAAGACAGTCATTATTTGGTAAAAGAATAGCCATTGTGCATTTTGATTCTGTAATCCACTTTTGTTTTTGTACTATACTAAATCTTCACTCAAAATTTCACATTCACCACCTACATATAGGATCATACATGTAAGGCTGAGATCAGGTTGGTTACTTTTAGGTCGTTGAGACTGAAAGATTTTGAACAGTAATTTTCAGACTTAGAAATGTATAAACATAATATAAGAGGAAATGGATTGACAGGATTTATTGCTTAATATTGGGTTATTGTAGTTTCTAAATTTTACTTCTTAGAAGGAAAGAATAGGAAGTGCTTTACAGACAGGAATCACTCTGAAATATTATAAAGTAAGAAAAAAAAACACTCAGAAAGTCATATTTGCCATGGTTTGAAATTATAAGTTCCTTCAATCATAAACTACATATAGCTTACATGAATTTATAATCAAACTTTTTTTTCACTTGAAACTGACATAATTTTACCTGCGATAGTGTATTTGCATATATTAAATGAGAACGTATGAGAAATACATTCTCATGTAATGAGAAATATGTCATTAAATAAAGGACAATACTGAGGGAAAAAAAAGCTAATGTTCTGAACAGAGTAATAAAAGATTAACTTTCTGGGCCCAGCAAGGTGGCCTAACAGCCAAAGTGCTCGCCTTGAACGCACTGGGATCCCTTATAGGTAGGTGCTGGTTGTAATCTCGGCAGTTCAGCACTTCCCAACCAGCTCCCTGCTTGTGGCCTGGAAAAGCAGTTAAGGACAGCCCAAAGCCTTGTTACCCTGTACCAACCTGGGAGGCCTGGAAGAGGCTCCTGACTCCTGGCTTCGAATCAGCGCAGCTCAGGTAGTTGTGGTCATTTGGGGAGTGAATCACAGGGATGGAAGATCTTTCTCTCTGTCTCTCCTCTTCTCTGTATATCTGACTTTGCAATAAAAACAAACACACGAAATCTTTTTTTAAAAAGTGTAGGCCCTGGCAGCATGGCCTAGAGGCTAAAGTCCTCACTTTGAATGTGCCAGGATCCCATATGGGCGTCAGTTCTTATCTGGGCAGTTCCACCTCCCATCCAGCTCCCTGTTTGTGACCTGGAAAAGCAGTCAAGGAAGGCCCAAAGCCTTGGGACCCTGCACCCGTGTGGGAGACCTAGAAGAGGTTTCTGGCTCCTGGCTTCAGATCAGCACAGCTCCAGCTGTTGCAGCCACGTGGGAAAAAATCAACAGAGTGAACATCTTCCTCTCTGTGTAACTGATTTTCCAATTAAAAAAAAAAAAACTAAAGCTTCTTTAAAAAAAGGCAAAAAGTGAATATTTATTAGCACTTTGTTTTACATGGTTTTTTGCTTTGCTATTTGTAACTAGCATTGGGTTTGATATTTTTGTTTTATGATTCAGATACTATCACAACCAACACAGGGAAGAAAATTATAATATCAAAAGAGTAATTACTCTCATTGAGACAGGTTTGAGTTCAGTTTCACATTTTCTCTTTGTTCTACACTGTCTGCAGCATTTTCTAATGTGTCTGTGTTGGAAACTGTTGATCAGCAAATGAGCGCACTCAGGGAAGGGTAACTATACGGGAGGAGGAAGAAAGATCTCTCGGCATAGCATTGGCCGTTGCGC